TTCTAGACATACATGGGTATTGTCAATGTGTTTATCAGCATACAAACGTCTTATGCCAATACCAAAAGGATACTATACACAGAAAAGGACGAGCATTTATCAAGAACCTTCACTCACGACAGGAGAATATCTTTCATGAACAGCAATTTCTGTCCTCTGTGAGTTTGACCATCAGAGACCCAAAATAGGTCCGATGCAATTACCTATTTTGACTTGCACCATATGTTTCCCGTAATTTATCAGGTGAACAATGACTTGCCTTAGCATGTGACGGGTGCCACTGGTGGGGCAGGCAACGCTCACCCTTTCGAAAACACCTGGTATCATCACTTTTTGGTCGTGATTCATATAGTGGGAAGCGTGCAGTGACCTTAACCAATAGCAAGATTTCTAATTTCTTTTGTTCGTTTTTATGATAATTAACTAAAGTGTTCACTATATGAAAAGGTAAGCTAATGGAACTAGAGTATAGTGACACTTTGCAAGAGTGGCAAATCATAAGGATAGATTCAAGTTTGAGGCTTAATTAGAGAGTGTATCCTTCAGAGAAACTGTCGGAAATATAATAGATCAAAATATGTGGCAGCAGTCTGAAACAAGTCCTATAACAAGTCAGTGCGACACAGTGCTGGGTTTTATTAAACCATGAAACAGTGTTGGAAGCATTGTTAATACACTTGTCGTTTTACTTATGTAATTCGGAACTGTACGAATCATATTAAAGCAAACAATAACTTTATCGATTGCATTTTTCAAGGTAAAGAAATATGGAACTTTTAGCATATTCCATCCTCTCACTGGCCTGGCGGAATGTACGACTCGTCGTATAAAGGCAAAGGGAAATTCTGAGTCGGAGTCCCTGAGGCAGTATTCTGTTCCTAGATCTTCCTACCTTTCCCTTGTATGTATCAGTGGAAATAGATGGATTCCTCCAGAGGCATCAACCACGGAAAGGGGCTCTTGCTAAGCCACCTGTATGAACTTCTGTGTAAGTGTTGGGATGAGGGAGTGGTACCCAAGGACATGACAGGCTGCAACATCGTCACCTTTCACGAACACAAGGGTGATAGAAGCGTTTATCATCCAAAACTGGCTCCCACAGGCGATATCGCTTTGGTGAGATCAAGCGATATCTCCATTGTAGATATCACTGCAATGAAAATTACCATTGTGACATCATTGGTTACCATGACGTCACAATCTAATGACATCACTAATGGCTCGGCTACTGAAGCTGTTAGCCAGTACTTTTTACACTTAAGACACTGTTTATTACTGTCTCGCCCTCGTGTCTTTTAATATCAAATATATGAACGCTCGTTGATAAAAGTTTTTCCACTTTTTTTCAACTCGTGATGACACTCAGGTGAGATTCTCTATTTGTAACAACTATGTTTGGATCTCTTTGCTAAACATCGAAAGAAAGCTCTTCATTTGTATGGTCCTTTACGGACAACAGAAACTTTCTCATAGGTGGAGAGAGCGGTCGGGTAGCCTAGTGGTTAAAGCGTTCGCTCGTCACGCCGAAGCCCCGGGTTCGATTCGCGACAAGGATACAATGTGTGAAGCCCATTTCTGGTGTCCCCCGCCGTGATATTGCTGGAATATTGTTAAAAGCGGCGTAAAACCATACTAAGTCACTCATAGATGGAGGTGGTGAACCAGTTCACCTACCTTTGCTCCACCATCACAGGATGCTGAGATAGATAGCAGATCGGCTCAGCGCGCCCACCCTGCCAGACTGACGAAGAAAGGGTGGGAGACAGCAAGCTGACAACTCACACCAAGGTTGCGTTTTCAGCACATTGCTGTACGGCAGAGAGTCGTGGCTTCCCTCCTCCAGACAAAGAAAGAAACTCAACGCCTTCCACATGCGCAGCCTGAGACGCTAGAGGCATACTCTGCATGGCTGGAGTGACCAAGTCAAAAACACTGAAGTTCTTTCCCACACCACTATCTCTTCTCCCTGCTCCAACAGCAGCGACTTCCCTGGCTCGTCCACGTCCATCACATCCAGGACGGGACAACACCGAAGGACCTTCTGTAAGCTCACATCCAGCAGAAGGGCACTTTTAAATACGTCTGCAAGCGGGACTTGAGCTCACAGGACATTGAGAGAGGGAAGGAACTTACCCCCCAAAATTACGCACGGCATCCTAAAGATTACAGTTCTAATTGTTTGATCTATTTTTAAAAACTAATTAAGCGCCTTTTTACGTTGAAAATAATGAGCTCATAAACATTAAGCTAGAAAATGCTGATCTCAAACCAAATTCCCCCCCACCCACCCACATTTTCTCGCACACTTACATATTTGTACGTCGCTCATTCATTCACTTAGTCTTGAGATTACACTAAAATGCAGTATCCCTCTTATATAAAGTCACGCATTAAATTTCAGTAAAATGATCTGAAGAACCCCGCATTAGTACATATGTACAAGTTTTATGTCATGTGGCTGAATGCCATACCGCAGGAACGGTGGGTTACCTCAGTGGTTAAAGCGTTCGCTATTCACACCGAAGGCCCAGGTTCGATTCCCCCATGAGTATAATATGTAACCTTTTTTGGTGTCTCCCGCCCTGATATTTTTGTAATATTGCTGAAAGCGTCGACAAATCGAACTCAATGACTCACACACATTCCATTCCCAAGCATCCCCTATAAATTTCACACAATGCATGTAGCATTATTGTTTTTACTGTCTGGTGTCAATGAGAGTATTGTGTATATGTGTAGCTTTGTGTTGCTGTATTTCTCTTATAATAAATATTAATAACAGTGGCACATGGACACATAACATATATTTTTCTATCTCTGTAAATGCGATATGCTGCTACTATGTTGCTATAGTCCGGCTTAATAGGATTTTCTTTGAAAACATAAGCATCAAAAGAAGAAAAGGCTTCTTTGATCTCCATTCTTTAAAGTTTGCTTATGAAGAATCTTAATTCTGAAAGTAATTTGCTGTTTTTCATACCCTGAGCTTCAATATATATCGCGAAAACACGTCAGCTGTGTAAATGAGCACACAGTACCTGGAAGCCAATAAGTTGGCAACATAATGCAGATAAAGTAGACTCTTTCAAATGCAGTGTTCAGGTTCTCCCTGCCGTGGTAGAAGTAGTTCGTCTTAATTACAAAGTGGACATAAAGACGACGGCAAGGTTACGTTCATCAGGAAGTTGTCTGAAGACACCATTTTAGCTTCTCAGAAAATACTCTGTATTAGTACTGAAACTTAAACAACTGCCTAATCTAAGCAGGATCAATCCCGGGCCCTTCAAACGTTGTTTCTCGGCTTTAATACGTTCTGAAGCAATAATGGGGACACGTCGTATTGAACAAAAAATACTCTCGGGAGCTTTAGTTATATTACCACGGTCATGTGAGGTTTTGTCCAGGAAGACACTACAAGAACTCGGGCACACTGCGCTCTGTTACTTTGTCGCGTTTCACGTTGATGCTACGTCCTTACTGGACTGCGCCAGACAATTAAGAAGAAAAAAACATTTGTGTTGTGGGATAAAACCATACGTGCTTGGCGTCTCTCTCGTATCTTTGTGATAGTTATCGTATAACATGAACGAAAGTCCTTTTATAAAATAACAATGATCACCGATGCTGATGTAAAAGAGAGTTTGAACAAATATATCTTTATCCGCCAAAAAACGTTTATCACCCAGTCCTACAATTTAGAACCACAAACCACAACTTACCAATTGAATCTGGTCGCTGGTCTGATGTCGAAAGAGTAAACCATTTGTGTGATTTATGTAGTTCTCTCGTGGTTGGTGACGAGTTTCATTACCTGTTAAGATGTGAAGCTCTTCTCCAGCGGCGGTCTATGTACAATGTATATAACTAAAGATCTCTCTGAATGACCTAATACGTATAAATTGAAAAAAATTTATCCAGCATTAGATTAATAGATATGAAAAACTTGTCCAAATTCATCAATACCATCTTTAGAAATGTTAAGCTGTTGTATGAGATTCTTGTTACTTTTTTTATCATATTTAATTGATTTAATTGATATTTAAACATTTGATCCCTATATGTATTTGCACAATTCTCCTGTCATCTTGATATTGATTTTATTATGTTATGAATCGATATAATATTTTTCTCATGTAGCACCGTTGATGGGTCTTTCTGAGAAATAAACTGAACTGAAAATGAAAAAGCATTCAACTGGAATCTCCATGCTGACCGTTACTGTGACTGTGGGACGCCTATAATTTTCTTACAGGCATGACTGTATAATAACATAATACTAACAGCATATTTTATGCATTTTGTACCTTTACATGCGGAAGATAAATATTGACATAGCGATGGAATTAACGTTAAATATGTTCACATTGTTGGACCATTGTCTTGGCACCATCGCTGACAAATTGTGTGTATGGTGTGGTTCTGATGGGATTCCTTGTATTGATAGCAATTACTACCAGACATACTGAAGCTGTAGATGATTAGATTTGTCTCTCACTTCACAGTCCAACCAAACTCACTGTCAATGTCACTTGTCATTACCAATACGTGCGTCCGATGCTAAATTGGTTCGACAAAGATGAGAAGAAATTAAGAAACATTAGACACACATGTGCGATGTCAGTCAGGAGCATCAACAAGCTCATATTAGTCCGACAGTTCACAACGTGCATGCACATTAGTTGTATTAGCTATACCCATACAACTTGTTTGATGAAATGTTGAACATCTGCATCGGTACCGTGAATGGCAATGGTATCTCACTGAGGATTAAAGTCCTTTTTGTTGACTACTATATTGTTATAGAGCGAATGAGATCGACTGTGTCTGTACAGATAACGCGAATACGGTCTGTCATCTGGATTGTTTGTGTGTCGTCTGCCGCGGTTCCTCCATGTGCATTGGTAGAGTCGCGCGATCGATTCCTGATGAAGTGTATAAAAGGCAGGCCACTACCCAGCGTTAAATCTTGTTTCTACCTTTCAATCACAGCGCTCCTTTATTCATCTAATATGAGTAGAGCACATTGAACCCGGATGCAGGCATGGTCGGGCCCTAACCTGCCCATTTTATATCTGACTACTGACGGACGGGGTCAGTCAGTGACGGTCGTTCCAGGAACTGGGCAGGTATTGTGATTGCACGTGCAATACGAATGCTAATTTTGGGTATTGACCTGTGTCCGATTGTCTTCATCTCACGGGACAGAGTCTGGCATCATTCCTGATAAACAGCATATATGACACATCCATGCGTCGTGCAAGGTAAGTACATTAATGTTTGTTTTGATAACACAAGAAAATGGTCAACTTGATTACTCCGCTGTGTTAAATGTATACATTTCTGTAACTCAAAATAGCAACTATATTCGTTCGAACAACTTACTGCTACGATGTGGGACGATCAGGTGGTCTAGCGGTACGGCATTCGTTCACCAAATAGAAACACGGGTTCGGTTCTCAACGTTGGTGGGATGTGTACAGCCCATTCCTGGCAAGGATATTGCTAACACTGGGCGTACTCACTCACTCACAACTAAAACGATGTACGTTTTGAAATACTCCAAGAATACAAGAATACAAGCTAATTGAAAACGACTAATAGCCATGCTCACTCCTTTCGCTAACACCTCGTGTCATCACTCATTTTCAGTGATCCATTCATATAAAGTTCACCACTCATGTGCCTTTTACGCACTATGGAATCTGGTTCTGCGTACACTCGAGCCTGATAATTCTCTGGCATTGGCATTCTGATACTGGCTCGAGACACCCTCATGCAAGAGACCATTATATTCTTCCCGAACAGTATGGGCTCGTGTACCTTACGCCCCGTTCATCGGATGAGTGTTTTTCTGTTTCAGGAACTCTTTTTCTTTTCATAATTGTATCTTATCAAACTTAGTTACACGTGTCGGTAAATATGTTGAATTTTATTTTATTTTTATTTTTTCTTCTTTTATTTTTTCTTTCTTTCTCTTTTTTTTCTTACTCAATGAGTCTATAGACTTATTTTTTAAACCCTACTTTGTAGGGGTAGAAAAGAGAAAGCAGAGAAATATGTTGAATTATATCATCATTCTTCACAGTTGTTCAGAATCCAGCATTTAACTTACTCTGAATCAAGCTTAATTGGGGTATCTATGATTCTAATGTCCGCGTGAACAAACATGTCCAATGTCCTATTCAGAATATTGACCTGAAGTCAGTCACCTGATCCAACTTCTTGAATATTCTCTACAATTAGGCTCATTGACACTGAGCATACTAGCATGATGTCTTGGAAATTGCATTTAAGTAATTCGATTGTGTCCAGTGTTCCCGAGGACCGATACTTTTTCCTGATTACCATTAATCTGGGTCTCGGCGACTGTGCACCACCTACGAATTACCTTCTTTGTCCAACACAGGCTATAATTAGGCAACTTTACAGGGTCATTTGTCTTTTAGAAACAAACATCATGCTATGGGAAGAACTTACCCATGCCTACCCTCTTCACGAACACCTGATGTCATCACTGATCCATTGATGTCATTTGCGTGATTATTATTCCTTTTACGCCCTGTGGAATCTGTTTCGGCAGATAATTGAGGGTGATTATTCTATGGCGTTGACGTTTCAAATTTGTAAAATAATAGGGGAGGTGAAATGGGGTTTAACGTCGCGTTCACGATAAGTGCACTTGTATAACGACCTGCATGCAGGCGTGTGAGTATATGTGTGTTTGCTGTCGGACTAAGGCCGATTTTATCAGGCCTGCACACTCAGATACATGCCGCGGTTTAATATGAATATCTGTAAAAGATAGAATGTTCTTAGAATTCATTCTAAGGTCGTTTTGAATGTTTTCACAAGAAATCTACACTTTCCCACTATGCCAGTTGAGGTAGAAGTAAAGTATTCCTTACCAGCATTTGGGAACACATGTGCTTTTTCTTGCTGATCATTTGGAATGTGATTCCAATGCAGGAAAGCAATGACCGGAAAATGGGCTTCACACATTGTACCTATGTGGGTAATCGAACCCTGGTCTACGGCGCAACGAGCCAACGCTTTAACCACTAGGCTATCCCACCGCCCCGGAACCTGTTGGAAACGTCAATGTAGTTGAAATCTTAATTCTAGTGTCCCATGAAGAACTAATAATATAATGATATGTATAACTTTGTACAGCGCCAATTTCAATATTGGATATGTTTAAAGGCGCACTTGCATGAGTGATGGTTTTTGTAAAACAGAGAGTTCGATGAGAGTTGTAGGCGGTCAGGAACTAGTATTTATTTTAATAGTCCCTTGAATTCTGTGATATTCTTTTTGATGTTGACGGGAATTTTCCATGAAGAACATGACATATTTTCAAAAACAGTTTGGAACTATGATTTCGGTTAACATCGAATTATCCTATGACTTTTCGGTTCTTGCGATGCTACTTCGGTTGGTGTCAGGTCACTTCGGCCTCAGAAAGGCAATTACTTTTCTTCACATTGTAATTCAGATTTCCTTGTTAGTAATCCTTGGAACAGTGGTAATCCTGCTGGAAAATAATGCAGTTCACGTATGTTATCTTTATTATTCGTAACCTTGGAAATATGTTGGATGTGTCACGACAGAAACAGTGTTTTCACACAACTAGAAAAACTTTCTAACTCTCATCACTGGAGAATTGTTTAACATAACGACCCATAAAAATATTGCTCCCATCTCAATGAAATGATTGATACTGACGATTACATGCTATTTTGTATTATTCAAACTGGAGCACGCGTATAAAATCAAAATCAGTTGTATCAGGGCCATGATTTGTCCTAACTTTTTCCAGAACACACGATGTTGCTTATAGACACTGGTAACTCTATAAACACAAAGCAAAATCAAACTGATAATTTGCACAATCAATGTTTATCTTCAGGGTATCACACAAACAAGTTGAATTTAATTGCATTACAGATTGTTTGACAAGACAAGACACCAAGATGATAGGTTGTATATGAAATTTAAAAAATCTAATTGTTCACGGTGTTAATATTTAAAATTACACACCAAGTTGAGAAACAAATCAAATAAAGTTACCACGTGATCAATCGATTTCAATTCTTTGACACATTAGCAAAACGTTATTTGATAAAAAGGGTTATCGATTTTGTTTGTTATATCACATCTAATTATGTTTAAATGTTAACACTATTATAATTTGCTTATGTTATAACATTTTTGTTTTGTTATCCACCCAACCAACCCCTATTCCGCTATATTTATCATAGAAAGACTCCTGTTTTCTATGATAGTGAATCAAAGTTTTTAAAAATTACTCAGTCCGTAAACATTTCCCTTTTTAGGGTGTTTGTTGCACTCGCGTTTACATTAGAGATCGTCATTAATAGACGATTACTATTACACCCTTTTAAATGCAAAAACTATCGTTTAACACATTTTCTTCTTACATACCACATCAAGGTGTATGTGTAGAAATGGAATAGTCTCTTGCATGCTAGAACATAACTATCATCTCTCGAGCGAAAAAACATGGGTATTCCATTATCACATGTGACATTTACAATAAATCGCTCCACTGCCTCTGTCTTTGAACATTTCTCATGGGACTACTTTCTGAAGCCTAGTGTGCATAGATTTGAGAAAGGAGAAAGAATACCATGTGTTGTTTGCCGCCAGCCACTTAATGCTTTTGCGGATCAATACAACTGACTTGGGTCTACCTCAAACTTATTGCTGGAGACTTTAGTAATTCACTAATTGCGACTCTAAACACATAACATGTCAGGGGAGGTCGTGTTTCTGTCAGGATTGGACAGCTCCTGCAGATGCTTGTCAGACACACCAGACAAGGTCAGACATGGGTCAGACAAGAGTAGAACATGTTTGGATGTGCACTACAGTCAAATGAACTAACCATGGAATCTGCAAATACGTCCTTGTCAAAGATATGTACGAACTGGCATTACTTATATATTGGCGGCTTCCGTGTCCATTGGCAAGAACGAAACCTCTTTAAATCAAGTAGACAAAATCTTTGACTAGAAGTTACACGATGTAAATCTGTAACTTGGATTTATTGGAAACGTTGAATTTCGATGTGTGGTGTCTTCAGAGATGGAAAAACACATTAAACGTGGATTTAATCTGATTTCCAAGTTGTTTGCGATACGAGTTGAACTGGATGTGGAGAAAACAATTTCTCTTAAATATGGAGGAGGCCCAGTTGTCTGTTTTTCATTGCATCCCTAGGCGTGCAAGATCGTGGGTTTGAATGATCGTAGGTCCGGTTGGGTGAAATGATCGTAAGTTCGACGGGTTAAAATGATCGTAGGTTCGTTGGGTTGAAATGATCGTAGGTTCGATGGATTGAAATGATCGTAGGTTCGATGGTTGAAACTAACGTAGGTTCGATGGTTGAAACCAACGTAGGTTCGATGGGTTGAAATGATCGTAGGTTCGATGGGTTGAAATGATCGTAGGTTCGATTGGTTGGAATGATCGTAGGTTCGATGGTTGAAACCAACGTAGGTTCCCATGGGTTGAAATGATCGTAGGTTCGATGGGTTGAAATGATCGTAGGTTCGATGGTTGAAATGATCGTAGGTTCGATTGTTGAAACCAACGTAGGTTCGATCGGTTGAAATGATCGTAGGTTCGATGGGTTGAAATGATCGTAGGTTCGATGGGTTGAAATGATCGTAGGTTAAATGGGTTGGAATGATCATAGGTTCGATGGTTGAAACTAACGTAGGTTCGATGGTTGAAACCAACGTAGGTTCGATGGGTTGAAATGATCGTAGGTTCGATGGGTTGAAATGATCGTAGGTTCGATGGGTTGAAATGATCGTAGGTTCGATGGATTGAAATGATCGTAGGTTCGATGGGTTGAAATGATCGTAGGTTCGATGGATTGAAATGATCGTAGGTTCGATGGTTGAAACTAACGTAGGTTCGATGGATTGAAATGATCGTAGGTTCGATGGTTGAAACCAACGTAGGTTCGTTGGGTTGAAATGATCGTAGGTTCGATGGGTTGAAATGATCGTAGGTTCGATGGTTGAAACCAACGTAGGTTCGATTGGTTGAAATGATCGTAGGTTCGATGGTTGAAATGATCGTAGGTTCGATAGGTTGAAATGATCGTAGGTTCGATGGTTGAAATGATCGTAGGTTCGATGGTTGAAACCAACGTAGGTTCGTTGGGTTGAAATGATCGTAGGTTCGATGGGTTGAAATGATCATAGGTTTGATGGGTTGGGATGATCGTAGG